CGCTTCAATGCCATTGTTTCGTTCCCTCACACCAGCCTTATATTTGTCTATACCTCGACCAAGGGCACCGGCAACCCCAGCTGGGAAGATTCGCTAGTTTCATGGATAAACGAAGTGGAACCTCTGATGGTATCTCATGCGAAGTACCATGCTAAAACACAAAAAGTTTTCAAACCAAACTTCCAAATAAGCAGGAGTGAATCATATGAATAGGCTCGTTTGGTAGATCATAACTAGTAAAGCTGTTCGGAATATAGCCTATAGGGTTTCTATTATTTAATGCACATTTATCCAGCATGAAGGGGTGTTCTTCATGCAATATCTTCTATTTACACGGATACCTCGTACTCATAAAATTCTCTTTTTCCGAAGACCGCTGTCCTTGTACCAAGGTCATTTCTTGCTCACCATTCTTTTACCTCTTTCGTGAGTACTTTATCTTACGCCGTCTCTACATTTTGTCAACGTAGTAATTATCACTACACTTCATAGATACGGTAATTCTTACCCCAGATAATACTGATAGTACAACTCCTTGAGAGCCACCGACGAAATTCGTGAGAAGTTTTGCCGGCATATTAGCTGCAGAATTTGACAGAGGCCGAGATAAAAGTGCCCCGGTCTTGGGCTCTTCGACTTATATTCGGCCTCCACAGTTAGGGGTGCAGCAGCGGCGAGGCAAGGCCTGAGGCCTGGACTGATTAAAAAGTTTTCGAAATTGCGGTAACAACTCGAAGATTAAGAAGCGACAACAGGGGGAATAGAGGGAGGAAAAACAGAGGAGGCCTCTGTGCGTGACAACATGAGGTCTCCAATGAGGAAAATGACCCCTGGCTCAGATGAGGCATGAATAGAACTGAACGGAAAGGATCAATTAGAGATTGTTAAGGTGACAAGGGCTCGGGTGCGTGGTAGCCGAGTCTTAGGAGGAACTTACGCTTCAGTGTATCAAGGTCGGGCTCTCTGTGCGGTTGGACTTGATATGTTCAGCGAAGGGGTGGAGTCTGAGGTGTTCTAGTCATTCAAGTGGAAAGAAGTTTATGTATTTTATGTTAGTTAACCTGATCCAGCCCAGTCCCACTCGTGCTCAAGCCCCCTTAGCAGTGCGGAGGGTGCCAATTGCTTAGCACGTCAATAGATAACCCAAACCAAATAAACGTAGAATCCTTTATTCATTGTAATGATACCCGGGAGCCTTGATAGGTGCTGTGCTGTCGAATAGTGATACGCGTGTAAATTAGCAGTCAGCATCATCTATGATTTTGTGAGATTTTTACGTCTATAGGCTTGCTCAACTTCTGTTTCCTGGCCTCGAACTCTTCGTTTGCACTGAAATGTGCCAAAATTACATCGTTCCATCTCCTAATACTGTGGCCCAAAACTCTCCTGCAGTCTAGCTTAGTCGTAGTGAATCAGTGTAGTCTCCTTGTTAAAATCTGCAATCTTAATGATTTATGCAAGCATTTGGGGGCTCACATCTGGTTGCCCATCACAATTTGTTGTACAAGCAAGAGCTTACGGAGGATTTAATGGCGATAGATTTGGAGATGATTAATGATAAATCAATGACAACTGCTGATGAGTTGGTATCCAGAACTAGAGATTTGAGAGGTAGAATACGCTTCTTATTTACACATCTGAGGTAGCTAGACTCTAGCCTTATTTTCCCAAAACGATATTAAGGAATATTCGAATGTCCTCCATCTGCTAGTATTACCTAGCAAAAACTTTCCATATATGGCTACATTGTTTCTCTACTTATCATGAAGCCACCTGGAAAGTTCTTCCTTCACTCCTAGTGATCATTACCCTTGTGCATCGTGATTTGGCTATCACCAGCACAGCATAATTTCCGTAGAATATATGCTGTAACATTTTACGAATGCCCTTAAACCACCTAACATATTCTCACTCTATGACAAGAAGCCTTGCAGTCTCTGTAGAAGGTGGGTGTCTAACTGGACATATTATTTTGTAGTTGCATTCTCCAAGTAGGGAGTGTCCTGTTCCTCATGATTAAAACCTGAATATCTATTGTCTTGGCAGGACCGAGTAAGCTAAATATACAATGAAATGAACGTTGTCCCTCTCAAATACCGGACCACTCCAAGACTGACTTTTAAGACAAGTCATGTCAGCTTCGAGAATCAAGGGAAATCTTTCTCTTCAAACCAAAGCGTTGTATACTCAGTATCGACAATCTGTGAAAGGTTAAAGCAAACGGTGAATGCACGCAAGCAACACCATAACAATTATTCTTCTACTATGATAGACAACTCCTATTAGAGTGGGACTATTCTCAACACCTGTAAGTGTTTTCTCCTACTGACCTCCAGCTCTCACTGTAGAGTCTGCAGAGCCGAGATTGAGTAACAAAGTTCTTACTCCGACGAGGATTCCCAATCGCTTTCGCCGTCTGTATCGTCTTCATTCCTCGACACATTCCCCTATCACCTTTATCATGAAGCTAACTACTATCAGATCAGATGTCATAGTCGAAGTCCTTTTCATCACCAACCCTTAATCATGGAGGGGAAGCCGAACGACGAGTTTCCGGAGCGTACCCAGCACTCGATACAGAGATGGTGGATTGGATCAAGTCGACCTCGACTGCTACAAGGAGGGGAGATATAGATGAATACGTGGACCTCATGTGGTCCCGGTGTCTAGGCCTCGCCTGGCTGGGCCTGCAAGTTTTTTGAGACTTTCCCCGCGCACGCAGTTTCCATTGCTACCATTTTATTTTTTTAGGGTAGAAGGTTCCGTGGAAAAGGTGGCCGAATTCCACGGGTAAATACTGAGCTGAATGGCTATTCATCAAGGGGAATATATCAATGATCTTTCAAGTAACAAAAGAGGCAAAGAGCACTGTACAAGGTGTTGCCTATGTCAGAGAGGAGCCAGATGTGCTAGATAGTCATAGACTCAAGTAGTACAATAAACAAATCCACATGTGGTGATGTCCAATTATAACCTCCAGCTCTCACAATAAAGTCTTCAGAGCTGATATTGAATGATACCTTCTTTAATTTTGAGTTGAGTTATCTTTCCTTCCTCTAAGATACGTTTCCGATGACACACAAGACGATCAAAACAACGATAATGATGCTGGGAACGAGGAAAATTGTTGCGGTATCAAACGCTACAACGGTAGTCAGAGAAGCCCTCGTTATATTACAATATGTGCTACCCACCGGCGGGCCAACAAAAAGCCCAAGAAAGCAAAGTAAAGGACCCTTCCGCCCTCAGAAAATCTTTGTTTTGACTCGTCAATAATTTTGCCTCCTCAAACCTTTAATTCCGTATCTACTAGCCAGGAGGGCGTCGAAACTGCACTAGTTACTCGATAATCTCATGTACGTGACGATTTTTGGATACTGGGCATTGCTACTTAACGGTAATTACTCTCGAACAAGTATTTTCTGACATCCTTTCACGGCCTTTGGTTTGTTCTGCGGCATTAACCAGGGGAAGTTTAGGAGATTGAGAGACGCTCTTAGGCATACAGAGATCTGCTACGCCCGGCAGGCCGACCTTTTAGAAAGCTTCAAAAGAATAGTTATGTTATCGGATTTAATTTTGAAGTGAGTACTATGAGGGCCCCGCACCCAGTAGCTCTTGAGACTTTTCTCTGCAGATATTCACCCGCAAATGGCCATTGTTTTTTTGGGTGGACAGGGGGGATAATGACGGGATAATGGCTTCTTTGTGGGAGTAATTAAATGAAGACCTGTGGGTGTGATACTTGTTGAATGAAGCCACGGAGAGGGCATATATAAACTCGGACTGTAGGCAGAAAAGACTTACATGTCTAGTGGTAATCATACACTAGCCAAACCGGCAAGTTTATGCGCAAATAGAATGTTTAATGTAATTATGGGCGCACCTTCCAATTTAGGATTAGTGTCAGACATCAAACAGAAGACTTGATATTCCTGTCGTCAAGATCATCATGAGGTCGAGAGCCATTATTTCAACAAACTCTTGTGTTTGGGTGTTTTATTATACTACTTGAGTCTATGACTATCTAGCATATTGAGCTCCTCTCTGACCCAGGCCACACCTTGTACAGTGCTCCTATCCTCTTTTGTTACTTGAAAGATCATTGATATATTCCCCTTGATGAATAGCCATTCAGCTCAGTATTTACCCGTGGAATTCGGCCACCTTTTCCACGGAACCTTCTACCCTAAAAAAATAAAATGGTAGCAATGGAAACTGCGTGCGCGGGGAAAGTCTCAAAAAACTTGCAGGCCCAGCCAGGCGAGGCCTAGACACCGGGACCACATGAGGTCCACGTATTCATCTATATCTCCCCTCCTTGTAGCAGTCGAGGTCGACTTGATCCAATCCACCATCTCTGTATCGAGTGCTGGGTACGCTCCGGAAACTCGTCGTTCGGCTTCCCCTCCATGATTAAGGGTTGGTGATGAAAAGGACTTCGACTATGACATCTGATCTGATAGTAGTTAGCTTCATGATAAAGGTGATAGGGGAATGTGTCGAGGAATGAAGACGATACAGACGGCGAAAGCGATTGGGAATCCTCGTCGGAGTAAGAACTTTGTTACTCAATCTCGGCTCTGCAGACTCTACAGTGAGAGCTGGAGGTTCGTAGGGGACACCACTGACAGGTGTTGAGAATAGTCCCCCTTCAACAAACTCTTGTCGCTACAAATTCAGCATCATTTGACTATGGCTAGTTTGTCTGGATGGGGCCCAACTTTACCCAGTTTAGTAGATGAAAAAAATGAGTTACCGAATTATACAATCTGCACCAACACAAGTTTGGAATGCTCTCCATCAAGGTATAACTCATTCAACATGAATATCTCTATTTTGCACACCCCATAAGTTACTATCCTTTTCATGAGGCGCTCTGAATATCATCTCGCGCCCTAATTTTGACCAGCTCTTTTGGAGTGTTGAACCCAGAATAAAATTACAGCTTCGGCCTGAATACTATGGTTACAGGTATCAGCTTAAAGAAAATTCCAAGAATGCGTAATAACCAGACCCTAACCATGGGAAAAGTTGAGACGATCGATTCGCTTCAAACATATGTCGCTGCGCCTACCGATGGTTCAAAGGCTAGAACAATCATATTCCTGGTGGATTGTGAGTCTCTTTCACATCTCGTCGTCTGGAAAGAACCAGTTTGACTTATACACACGTCTCCTCTCCATTCAGAAAATTTATCTGACTGTGCAGCAAGTATTTGGGTGGGAACTCCACACAATCCGAGAACTAGCCGATACTTATGCTCGCGCTGGCTTCTACTGCTACATACCCGATATCCACCGCGGAGATTCATTCCCCACCGAGTTCCTACGAAATCTTGAGCCTACTCTTGTAGCTCGCCAACATCTCAGCAGGATCGAACGAACTAAAGCTGCCGCAAGTATGGGTATGGAGTTGCCTCAGTGGCTGATTCAACACAGAGTTTCGAGTACCCAACCCCAGCTTATGAATATATCTGACCTGTAGCAGGAAGTTCTTACTAAGCCTTTGATTGACTCATTCATTAAGACTATTCGAGAATGTCCTGAAACTAGCAAGATAGGGGTCATGGGATTTTCTTGGGGAGGACGGTACGCAGTTCTAGCTTCACATGGCCAAGTTGACGCTGTATATGCCTGTGATCCATGGCTTCTCATCGTACCCGAAGACTTTTCAAAAATCTCAGCCCCCTTGAGTCTTGCCTTTGGCGAAAGTGACAGTCACATGAGTAGCAGTACTCTTCAACAGATTAAACAAATACTGAATAGTATGACTCAGGTCCCAAACGAACTGAAGATTTATAAAGCTCAAGTCCATGGATTTACGTTACGCTGTGACTCAAGGTTCCACGAGGACCATCTAGCTCAAGATGAGGCCAGAAATCGAGGGTTAGATTGGTTTCGGAAGCATTTAGTGTAGCAATTCAAGTTCTGCAGGGTTAATAAGTGGTACGACTAACTTGCAAACATGTGCGGAATGACCAGATTATATAGGATACAGTTCCAGCAAGAATCGACCCTCTAAAATATTATAAGCAGTAACAATTTGAAAATGACTATTTCAACACTCTGGAACTCTTTAGTCACTTTAAGGTCTGAGAATAAAGCATGGGTGCACCTAATTAAGGTTGAGTCAAAGTCTCTTAACACCAACTCCAGCTCCGTGTGTTGTGATTAAGGTAAGAGTAGGTATGAGATGTTGAATATTCTAGGGATAGTGCAGAGGGTGGATAACGATTATCAGAGCTTGACGATATGATGAATAGCTTGGTTATATTGTTCTACATATCACAGTAGTAGATAGGACTTATATACACATATTTGGTACCCGCTCTACAGTACATCACCGTCTATGCATGAAGTACTACAATCTTAATTCCATGCAATATTATCCCACATTACTCTATGCCATTGTATAGAGCGGCGCCTCAATAGTCGATCGTAATGATAGCCATGTAGAGCTGTGCAGTACTCGCATAGATGTGTTGTATCCCTGGCACTTGGTAGAGAAAAATTTAGAGTAAATGCAATAATCACATCACAACACCGTGTCGGTTGAGGTAGTCTTACACCTCCAGAAGCTCTTTCTCACATTTGAATTTAAATAAGGCTCAAAATACGATTGTTTTCGGCTTCGTGGGAGGATAACTAATGTAATCATTAGGTCAAAGTCTGTGTGGGCCTGCTCAATTTTTTGGTATATTAAGATGAAGTACTGGTACTGTAAAAGAAGTTACTTTATGTCAAAGCTCAGAATTAAAAAACAATAAAAATTATATAAGGAGTGGCAATTTAAAGTAAAAAAAAGTACTTGGCATCAACTTAGTACTTCTAAATTCTACCTTGGCTTCTGTGGGTATTGACCCAGAAGATAACCTTATTTCATTATCCTAAATTACTCCGATTAAGACTTGCTTCATCCCGGGGAACTTTTTGGAGAACTCCTCTCGACACTTTATAATTTGTAGGCGAACCCGTAAACTTGTCGGAAAACTATAATCTGGATGTTCCACAGACCCTGGTCATATCGCAATTTGAAGCAGATGACTTTTCTCAGGGGGGCTTTATCCTCGTTACATGGCGTCTAGAGATCCAGCTAATGGATGGATGTTAGTCACAAAGGAAGAACTGCGTGCCAATATTTGGCTATGACCATGACACGAGACGCTAAAAGTATTCATCAGCTCTAGGGTGTGAGTAAGATACGGGTACAACTGGTCAGTGAATCCAAAACAAGAAAAGAGAACAAACATCCTAAAAGCTTTGACGAAAAGCCAGAGATATTGCTGTTAAAATGATTTAGGCCTATGCATCATCCATATATGAAAAAGCTGATCCTGTGGCACAGGAAAGGCGGCTGAAAATCGGCAACAAACTTCTCCCAGGAAGTGGGCCATGTTTCTTACGTCATATTCGGTAACTAAATACCAGAGATTCCTGTTGGGCCGTAGCAGAAACACAGTCTAACTCGGTACAGATAATGAAGAAAGAGATAGTTATGTTTATTGTACTACTTGAGTCTTAGACTATCTAGCACATTGGGCTCCTTTCTGGCCCAGGCCACATCTTGTACAGTGCTCCTTGCCACTTTTGTTACTTGGAAGAGCTTTGATAGATTGCCCGTGATGGATAGCCATTCCGCTTAATATCTACCCGTGGAATTCAGCCACCTATTCCGTGGAACCTGTTAAAGATTTAATCTTTCCATAACTTTGAGCTTGATGATGGCTAGCAAAACGAAGAATGTCATGAACTGTCATTTAATATGAAAGAGCGAAAAAGTATCAATTTGGAAGATAGGACCAATATAGTAAGGGTGATATACATGTACACGTGTCATATCCCTGTCACTAATTACCAAACCCCACACTGCCATAAACACCATCAATTTCTGCTATCCATCGCAATCCTGAGTATGAAAATGAGTCACTAATATACGGTATGTTTGTACGGGTCGACATCAAGATAGGAATGTTAGTAAAACCTTCTACCCAAAAAAAAAAAAAAAAAAAAAAAAAAAAAAAAGGTAGCCATGGAAACTGCGTGCGCGGGAAAAGTCTCAAAAAATCTGCAGGCCCAGCCAGGCGAGGCCTAGACACCGGGACCACATGAGGTCCACGTATTCATCTATATCTCCCCTCCTTGTAGCAGTCGAGGTCGACTTGATCCAATCCACCATCTCTGTATCGAGTGCTGGGTACGCTCCGGAAACTCGTCGTTCGGCTTCCCCTCCATGATTAAGGGTTGGTGATGAAAAGGACTTCGACTATGACATCTGATCTGATAGTAGTTAGCTTCATGATAAAGGTGATAGGGGAATGTGTCGAGGAATGAAGACGATACAGACGGCGAAAGCGATTGGGAATCCTCGTCGGAGTAAGAACTTTGTTACTCAATCTCGGCTCTGCAGACTCTACAGTGAGAGCTGGAGGTTCGTAGGGGACACCACTGACAGGTGTTGAGAATAGTCCCCCGACATCACATTAGGCAGTCTAGTTTTATCTCCCACACCCCCAACCTCAACGAAATATCCATGTGCATTCTTGAGTTTTGAAGCATCAGTCGGTGAATTCCGGAAAATTCAGCTTAATCTGCTTGTTAATTGACCGAAAAGTCTTCTTTCAATCACTGTCTAATTTACGTTGGCTGGAGAGGGGAGATAACAATGGAATAACAGCTCCTCTAAGTGTTTACTCAAATTAAGACCTGTGGGGGTATTACTGCTGGAAAGAAGTCGAAAAGGAGGCATAGAAAGTAGTACACTATCCGAGACAAAGATACTTCCTGCCTGTAGGCAGAATGGACCTATATGTCCTCTCATAGTCCTAGACTTTAAAGGACAATAAACACAAACAAACAACCAATCAATCAATTCGAGAACCCCCATATTGCCCATTTCAATCCTTTTATCCATCTCACACGTTTATGAACGACACAAATCGTTATTGTTTGACATTGGCGACATTTTAAAATGCCTCCGACGCGTATATCGCACAAAAACGCGATCAGCGGCACTGCCAAAGATCGTGTCAACAAACCCTACCTATGGACTCCTGCCATTAAATAACACGCACGTCATATGCTAACGAGAATAGGGCTCGAATCAAATAATCAAAATATGAACGCCATCGCGGCTGCGCTCCAAGCGAAGGAGAACGATGTCCCCGAGGTAGACATGGTGAACGCAGAAATCGAGAAGTTGAAAACTCTCGCTGATTCAATTTGGGCATCCTCCAGCCCAGAAGACGCGGAAAAAGCCCCAGGGCCCGCAGCAACCCCAGGAGAAACCATCACTTCACCCGAAAAGCAGAATGCGGTTCCAGCACAGCCGCGACTTACAGAAGTGAGGCCCGCGAAAAGGGCCGAAATACATTCAACCAACGCAGCAGGAGCCGAAAACTCTTCGCTGGCCCCACCGCCTACAGCACCAGAAGCAGCAGGTAGAGAAAAATTATACTCCCCAGAATTGCTGGCAGCAATTGAAGCGGAGGAGCGCAGGGCAAGGCAAAAAGCTGTACAATTTAATATATGCTCGACGGCGATAAGCAGTGTCGAGACAGCCCTTATACCGCTCTCCACCGGTAAAAATAAAGTTTTTGTAGACTCCATCAAAGTCTACCTAAGGGCAGCCATCGCGCAATTCGTGGCGGCCGGGCCGAGCACCGCTCCGCCGGTCCTGCCCCAACGACCAAGTGTCGGGACCCCCCTACTGTTACAGGCTTAAGGATAACAGGATACGTTCCCTGGACAAGGTCTGGAGACCAGTTAAGTAATGTCGATCTTAGATAACACTAACATTACCCCTGTAAAATATTTTCACTCTATAAACCCTTAACTACACCGTAGAGACATTTTTTGGATATCATAGTTTTAGATAATCAGAATAGACTTCGTTAACTTCGTTCGATTGTTCAGATCACGACTCATTTTGTGACACCTACGACCATCATCCCAGTAGCCATTTTACGGAATATTACAAAGGCTACTGCATCTACCCGACCCAGAAGCACCTGGGCCACTGTCACCCGAGCAGGACACCAAAAGTCAGGAGCACAGGCCCCTGCAAACATCACACCGACAGCGGCTGCCCCATTAGCCAGGAAAATAGAGAAGAAGCCGGCAGCAGCAGCAACAGCGCCGCAAGATGACCGACTCTTTCTGCGTCTCGATGCAAACCACGAGTGGAGACAGCTCTCTCCGGATAGTGTTCGCGAAGCTGTGGCTAAACAAACACAATGCACCCCTTCCGATTTCGACCAGGTGCAACGCGTTCCCACTGGCTTTGCCATCCGTGCCAAAATCCCGGATGCAAAAACTCGACTGCTGGAGGCCTCCAGCAGCTTCACAAAAGTGGAGGCAAAACTAGAACCACCTAGTGATCTAGTTTCCCTCCGGATCGCTACGGTTCCAGTCGCCGTTTTCGGCTTAGAAGGACGAATCGAAGTCACTGCCGAAATGGTAGCCGCCGAAATCCTAAGAGTCATTAACTGCACTCTAGACCGAGTAAGGATTCACGGAAAAACCAAGCTCGGCGCTCCCTATAGATCCTGGGCGGCCTTATTCCTCAGGAAAGCTAGTCCAAAGCCTGGATTCCGACTCTTTGACGACTCAGGAATAGCAACCATCCAACGATACCGCCCTACCATACAGCAATGTAGGTGATGTCTCGGTTTTCACGCCACCCATGGGTGTTCTCGAGCGCCAGCCTACTGGAACTGCGGATCCACCATGCACTTGGCATTCGAATGTAAAGCAGCCGCTAAATGTCGAAACTGTGGAAGCCCCCACCAATCTGGCAGTCGAGACTGTCTTGCTCGTCCCAATAAGTCTGGCTCAGCTACTGGGAGCAACTTGTGACGATTCGCCAAGCTGGCCTACGGGAATGCCAGGCCGTCGCTTGGGCAGAAGCCGCTACCAAGG